TTTCAAATCCCGATTGATCCTCTCAACCAAAAGAAAACAACGTTCACGGGTCCCTATGGAACTTTCGCATACCGGAGGATTCCAATCGACCTATGTAACACTCCAACAACTTTTCATCGTTGCATGACTGCAATCTTTAGCGATTTGTTAGAGAACATAATGGAAGTCATTATGGACAACTTCTCGGTGTTGGGGTTTATTTTTTCCACTGTCTAGCATATCTGGAGAAGGTTTTGATTTGTTGTGATGAAATGCACTTAGCAGTGAGCTGGGAGAAGAGGCACTTCATGGTCACTAAAGGCATCGTTCTGGGTCATAAAATATCTAGGAATAGAATTGAGGTAGATCAGCGAAAATTGAAGCCATCTCTGGCCTGCTGTCCCACAACTGTTAAGGGGGTGTGAAGCTTCCTAAGCCATGCAGGGTTCTACCAAGTTTCATCAAATATTTTTTCCAAAATTGCACAACGTCTTAATCGAATCCTGGAAAAGATGTCCAGTTTGAGTTCATTAATGAGTGTCAAGTTGCTTTTGACTTCCTTAAGGAACAACTCACCCACGCACCTATTATAATTGCACCAGAGTTTCATCAGATATTTTTTCCCAAAATTGCACAACCTCTTAATCGACTCCTGGAAAAGATATCCAGTTTGAGTTCATCAATGAGTGTCAAGTTGCTTTCGACTTCCTTAAGGAACAACTCACCCACGCACCTATTATAATTGCACCATATTGGTCCAAGTCCTTCGACCTAATGTGTGACTCTAGCGATTATGCAATATGAGACATCTTAGGCCAACGAAAGGACAAGATATTCCATCCAATTTATTATGCTAGTATGGCATTGCATGACGCTCAAAATAATTACACAACAACAAAAAAGCAACTCTTGGACATCATATTTGCCTTCAAAAAATTTTGCTCGTACCTAGTGCTAAACCATACAATTGTGTATTAAAAAGGCAGACGCTAAACCAAGTCTCACCCATTGGGTTCGCCTTCTTCAGAAGTTTGATATTGACATCAAACATGATCCCAGAGTGGAGAATGTGACAGCCAACCATTTGTCAAGGTTGTAAGGGCATGCTCCGAAAATTCCTGATCTCGTCGAAATAAAAAACACATTCCCTGATAAGCAACTCTTTCTTGTCGCGATCGAGGATGCTCAAGGACCATGGTTCGCCTCCATGACAAACTATCTGGCCACGGGGACCATGCCCCTTAACCTCTCGTACCATGAGAGTTAACACTTCTACAAGGTGTCCAAATTCTATGTATGGGACGATCCATATCCTTTTCGAATCGGTCCCGATAACGTGATATGAAGATATGTTTCGTTCACCGAGGGGAGGGACATCATCTGCCAGTGCCACGAAGGGCCTGCAGGCGGGCATCACAGTGGTCCTCGATAGGCACACAAGGTACTCCAATGCAGTTTTTACTGGCCTACAATCTATCACGATTGCAACATAGTGGCGAAATCTTGGGACACCTTCCAGCAACTTGGGTGTTCCACTCGAAGAGATGAGATGCCACAATCTATGATCTTGCTTATTGAGATTTTCGATGTCTAAGGCTTCATTTTCAATGGTCCCTTCTCATAGTCATTTGGAAACAAATACATCTTAGTCGTCATTGATTACGTCAAATTTGGCAGAAGTAAAAGCCCTCCTCATGAACAACGCGAGACCTATAGGGAAGTTCCTCCATGAACTCATTTCCCGATTCGGTGCCCCTCGAGCCATAATCAGTAACCAAGACACTCATTTGCAAGGGTATTTTGATAAAATCTACTAGAGATTTGGGGTGAGGCACTGTGTTTCCACAGCCTATCACCTCCAAATGAGTGGGCAGGTGGAACTTACCAACATGGAGCTAAAACAGATCCTCCAAAAGATAGTTGATAGTTCCCGTAAGAACTAGTAAGAGAAGCTCATTGATGCTCTCTGGGCATATCACGCCGCTTATAAAAACCTGACGGGCACATCTTCCTATCGAATGGTTTACGGTAAAGCTTGTCACTACATGTGGAGCTTGAGCATCGAACCTTGTGGCCAATAAATGAGATGAATCTCGACATAGAGCTCGCAATTAGAGAGAGCAACAATCAATTGTTGCAATTAGACGAATTCCATTTCCATGACTATGACAATTCAAGGCTTTATAAGGAGCATGTGAAGCGTCTGCACGATAAGCGTATTTGTGGGAAGGAATTCAAATTGAGTGACCAAGTTTTTCTCTTCCAGTATACTGTTTTTTCTGCAAAACCTGGGGGTATTGGTGGTTGTTTGGCGCTATTTTGCTTTCCTGATTGGTTGTTTAATCAAAAAGAAACCTTATGTCTCGACGTGAAATAGATGGCAAGGACGGCCGATTTCCTTCGAAAATCGGCACTCCGAGCGCCGTTTTGGGTTCTTTGATGCGTCCTACCATTTTGCTTATTTTCTCGTGCTTTGCTTCTCTATGCCTATGCAGGACGTGACTCAGGCATTGAACTTCCCCGACTTATGATGGGGGCCCCTAATATCCGGAGGCCTATTGTCGAAGGGCCTCCTAGCACACCCTAACGATCGATTCTTTGCAATCCTCAAAGGCAAACTGATTGAATAAGCCGCCGACAGAAAGGAATTAGTAGAGGTGGTTGCGCTCCTTCTTCTCTTCCTTACGACGATAAAAAATAGAATAGGGAAAGAGGTTTTCGATTGTTATGTTGGGACGCCGAGTGAGAGATTCAATTTCTGGTAGGGATTGAAGACATAATGTGTTGGGTGGGCGAGATAGAAATAGTTCATTCCCGATGGGAGATTGTAAGACAGAATGCGAGGAAGAGAAGGAACACAAATTTTATAGTAAGAACCCTCCGTAGTGTTCGACTGTTTTAGCTTGCAAAATTTGTATGTTGACCATGGTTGTCAAACCGGTTTCCTGCCGACCGATTCAATCGGGTATAACCGGTACCGGTCACCAAACCGGCTGAAAAGGGATCGGTATTTAACTTTGATCAAATCCGGTCACATTCAAAAATTCCAACCGGTTGGACCAAAAACTGGAATTCAGAGTTATTGCACATGATATCCAAAAATGAATATCCTTTATTAGGGCTGGTAATCGGTCGGTTATCAGTTAAACTGGTAACCGACTAACTAATTATCATTATATCGAGAAGCATGACAGCCCCGCCGTTTGCCAATACCGGAATCCCTTCGGTAAACCGATCACCGATTGCTGCGGATGCGGTTATTTTCCGGGTACCCGATTACCGGATGTGCTGATGACGAATGGTGGGGACTAGGGGTTGGACTCCCTCAAATCCTAATCATCGTTGACGAGGAAGAAGAGATAGTCGCCGGAGCAACTTTGGGCTTTCGATTGGCGATGATGATGAGGTAGATCGAGTAGTCTGGGGACGTCGATTGGCGACGACGAGGTAGATCTGGCAGATTCGGCAAGCAACCCGAACATGCATGGAGCTGGATCTACTTCCGTCGAGTCCTTCCGGCTAACGCTGCTCTCTACGGCTGATTCAATGGCGGAGGATGAGTTGAGATTGTGAGGTCGATTGCGGGCAGGCAGCGATTGAGGTGGAGAGCTGGACAAAGGCAGTGAGAGAGTTCGGGAGTGAGAGGTTTTGAAGGTTGAGATTGTCGACCGGCGATATGGGAAGAGGAAGCGGAGGGGCAGAGAGTGAAGTACAAAGTCGGGAGAGGCGGATTCATAGAGAGGGTAGGCCAGAGGCTGAGACGGAGTCGGCGAGGGAAGGCCTCGACGAGACGACGATGGCGAGGGAAATCGAGAATCGGGAGAGGGGAGCTGGAAATTGGAATGGCGACTGGTGGGCGGTGGCGATGCGAGGCGAGGGTTTCTCTTCTCCTCTCGTTTCTGGGTTTGGCCAAAAGTCCAAAAGACCAAAACACCCAAGTCCATACGCTGTGTTTGCCATTTAGCCCTCTGCCCTCCCTTCCCTTGCCGGTTAACGGTTTACCGAGAAACCGTCGGTATATACCGGCATGGGGAGAGGTATACCGAAACCATTAAACCCGCTGCCGACAACCGATTTTCCTGGTTAACAGTTACCGATAATCACCGGTTACTAGTACGATTACCGGTTAAACCGATAACCGGGAAACCAATTGTCACCCCTATCCTTTATAGGGTTTGAACCAAGTACCTCATATATAACCATTGATTTTCAATGTTGTTAGAACCGAACCGGTATATGAACCGGTATTGTAAGTGGTTCACACTTTATTGGTTTAACCGGTACTAAGTCTCTATAAACCCGTTAACGAGTTTATATATTGATTCTAATATATTCCTAACAAAAACCATTAATAGTACTATAATTACATATTGATTCTAATATATTCCTAACAGAAAATTATATATGGCAAGTAAAGATTATCATTTTACATAAATATAAATGATTTAAGCATAAAAGTTGTGATTTTCAAAATTAAACACTGTGTAATGATTGATAAAAGAACTTATTAGATTTTTTTTTCACAAAAATGGGGCTAAACCTATTGGTAGAAGCCGGAGTTGTCTCCAATAGGTGTTGCTGGGTTTAAATCCCAGTGGTCTCACATTTGTCCAAATTTTTTGAATTTGATCAAATACGATTCCTACAGTCAAAACATGTTGGGCCATTGCACTCACAAATCAGCACATCGGCATAACCGGTTTGACAACCTTGATGTTGACATTGCCTCGTAGAATTTAGTAGATTGAGCTACTATGTCTGTTTTTGTTTTTTGTTTTTTTATATTATTATCGAACATACTGCATTTTGCAAGACCCTATGTACAAAATGCACAAAGCAAGGTGAGGAGGTATTTGTTAGACCATCAGTTCCAATTGGTTTTTGCCACTTCACATTCGTTCCCTGCTTTCAATTACCCCTGGCTGAGACTAGTACCGAACGCTTCGTGTCTCCGGCGGTGCGGTCGCCGGGAGACTTTAATGGAGTGATTCCCCGTCGATTCCTGCAAAAGAGTTTGAAGAATGAGCGGGATCATTCCGATTCTGAAGAAGCCTAAAGTCGAGCAAGGTGAGGAGGTAAGCGGCGGCGGAGGCAGAGGTGGCGGAGGAGAAGTAGATGACGAAGAAACCACGGTGGAGGAGCAAGAATCCGCGTTTGTGGCGCTTATCGAACATCGTACTCGCGAAGTTGAACATCTAAGGAAGCGTATCGACTACTATACCTCTAAGGTATTGCGTTGTTATCTCCTTCGTTATCTCCTCCATGCTATTTTCGTGTGTTCTCTGTTCTTTAGTTCAGGCGAATTCGGTGCAGCTTGCTTTTCCTGTTCACAGTCTATTCTCTTCCTCGCTGCATTCCTTCACCATTTTGGGGAGTAGGTTATAATTTTGTATGTATTTTTTCGACTTGAATATTGAAAACTAGGAATAAGCAACAGGGACGGGAAATCTTCAAATGGTTGTGTTTCATGTATGTTTTTTTTTTGGCTACTGCCATGTGGGAAAATTTCAACTACAAGTGCATTGTTCCGTTCTTTTATTTTTATGGTTAAATTTAATTTGGTTCAGAAGGAATCAGTCGAGAAACGTAACAAAATTGCACGACTTGTAACTTGTAAGGCTTTGAATAGTCCTTAGAATATTGTTAGACTGGTGATGGGTCATGATTACTCTAAAGGGTCACTGCTATATATGGTTGAGAGTTGTACTGTGGTGGAGGAATAGCTTTTCTAAATTCTAATCATTCATTCTTGCAGCATGGAGAGACAGAACAGCAACTGGAAAGGACAAAAACACAATTGGCTCGCCTTAGGAGAGATTCTAGATCCCAAAAGACTTCTTTGGAGAATGGGGGAAAACTGTGAAGTTGGAGAGCAGCACAACTAGCTCTGTTCGAGTTAATGAAAGTTCTTCAAGGAATCAAACTCAGTCTAGAACTGAACTTGTTATTCCAGCTGTGAATCGCAAGGTTTCCCAGCATTTAAAATTAGGGGGTTCTGGCATGAGGGATTGCGTTCGTTCCAGTGCTCAGACAAGCTCTTCTACCCAGTCGGATATAATTAGGAAAGTAAATGCAGAGAAGCCGGACCAGAGTCATTCCGACGTTGAAGTTGTTGAAAATCAGGATAAAGGAAGAAAGAAGAAACATGGTAAGTCTCTGATTACTGGAGAAGTTTTGCATTGTTTATTTTTACTATGTTACTTGCATTCAAGATTTACTGGATAATCTATTATGTCCCCAGAATAGAGAGACCACAAGGAATTGATTCCAATGGTATGCAGAAGCTCTTCACCGCATACCATTTATTGCCATGCCAACAATCACATCTGTAGTCAGCACAAGAGAAAGTTGAGAAGTCTTGCACTGTGTCCGGCGAATGATCAACTGTTTGTTACCAGGTGATTAGCTCATGGATGCATTTCTTCCTTTTAGTTAGTCTATTCTTTTTCATTTTCTATGTCGGGTATGTAAAATAGCTTTAACCATATTAACATTCTTATGTTTGGAATATTTTCAGTGCTTTGGGTGGATTGGTCAATTTATGGCAGCTGCAGGGTCATGGGTCAGTCAAACATTTTTACCCTGTTATGTCAATTTGTTATTTTGCCTCCAGACCTGTCACTTTAGCATTCTTATGTATTTAAATGTCAATCTGGTGGAGGTTCCTAACCTTTTTTGTAATTATTTCTTCCATCTTCTAATTCCAGGTCAAGTGCCTCTCTTCTTAGTTCAACTGTGTGAATTTCTCCACAAAACAGGCGGTGGGCTGAAGATATAGCCTCGCACCCATTGGGGAACAACTTGGTTGCGACTTACACTGCTGATAAAGGGGACTCTCAGATAGCAGTCATTCATTTGAATATGACACATGGGTTAATGACCTCTGGTATGCCACATTCATAAATCAATTTGTCAGAGGGTCAATCTTGTTCACCTCTCTTGTTTAACCCTGTGCTTCCAACCCAATTATAACTCTTCCAAAGCGTCTGTCTAATCTGTCTTCCACAAATTTGCATTGGCAGAAGAGCAAAGTAACATTTCTACAAGACAAGCCTCATATTAAGGGTATTGTAAAGGTGGGATGGTGGTTGGAATCGCCGTGGTGGGCTTCCTCCATTGGTTGTGGTTTTTTTCCAACAAGCTTCTCTTGGGCTCAAACAATTTCCAATAGGGTTTCAGCTCATATGGACGTTGTCTGATATACAAAAACCTCCTTCTTTTTTTAGACTTTATTCCTTTTGGTCCTCCAAATTTACCCAATAGGTTATGCAAATCCTCCATGATTGTAACAAAAAAGCTTAAAATAATACTGAAACGTAATCAAAGTATAAAATAAACACATTAAATATGCATCGACAGAAAAGAGAAATATATCAAACATAAGGACTTGAAAACACTATAATTTGAGTTTTATTAGATCATAAAACGTACCTTGATTTTTTATAAACCAAATACAAGTAATTTATGGCCCTACGAATGTGAAAATTATGCAATTCTAGCCATAATAAAGGGGTCGTCCAAAATAGTACTTTCTACGTTGAAGGAGTATAAGAACTCACAAAAGATAGTGATAAGCATTTGTATCATAATATTTTGGAGGGTCTTTAGTCTCATGACGAGGACATCCTTCATAGCCACAACACTAGCCTTCATAGATCACGTATTAACGCATAAGGAAGGTGGTACTTACTCGACACTCGCAATGGGGTGAAGGAGCCTTCATCATTGGTTTGGGGGCATCAACCATGGGTATTTCAGTTTTTGGTGGGAGAGTGGTTGGAACTTGGAATCCAAGATTGGGGCAGAACCTAGATGAGGTGAGCCTCCCAGGCAACACGATGCGTCATATCAGTCTTGTAATGCTACTCAAAGTCTGGGAACCAGCGATGGAGGTGATCCCATTGGATTTGCTAGTACGCACCCATATCTCAAATCTTTGTAAGTATAGTAATTTTATTACGTTCAATGTGGCCATAATGGTGAGGAGGTCTCTTGTAGAGCCATGAGGCAGTGTCCCCAACATGGTAGTGAATGAGGAGAGTTGAAACTAGGGGGTTCGTCGTGCCCAACAGGGCTAATGCGACTGGGAGACTTTCTTCATTATTCTCCAATTCAATCAGCCTATATTATGTGTTACACGTAAAATAAGTGTAAGTTACATTCCAATCTATCAATAACATATTATACATCCATATCAAATTAAATTATATCCAAAACTATTTAACTTAGTTAGGGACATGGTGCACATCAAACTCATGGAGAATTGCTACGCTGCTGGGTAGCCTTTTCTAAGCCTATAATTGAAGGAGAATGAAGCATCCACCAAGGTCGCATGAGTACTACCACCAGTTGACCCATAACCAAAGACTGTCTTGCCCATCTCACGATATGTGCTTGAGAGGACGACATACCTCCCTGAGTAACTAGTAGCCTTATCCAAATCACATATGATACACAAGAACCTCCAACTCATTCGATCCAAAATGATATGGGAATAACATGCCACCAATGAGTGACAATATGTAAGCACGAGCGAAACTCTGAAAATCCTGGACACCATAATTATTTGGAAAGAGTTTCAAACATACGTCGTAAACGAGCTCATTCTCAACTTATTACCTAAACATGTATCACATATTTTTTTGTTGCATTCATTTCAATTTTTTCCTCTCTTAATGGTTAGAGCCAAGCCTTCGAATTTCAAGCCTAGAAATAACTCCACATCTCGGAGAGTGATAGTAAACTCTCTAGTGAACATATGGAGTGTGAATACCTCTAAGTGTAGTGATCAAAGAGCTATAAAGTTTAATCTAGTAAATATTGGGAATACGAGAAAACGCGATGCTCTGCAAAAAGTAGCATATCTCTAATCATACTTCATTGACTTTTTTACTACCCAAATGAAAAATTCTCTGCTTCTGAACATGCATAAAGACAAAGAAAGCAACGATTTAGGAAGCATTTCTTCTTCCACGCAAAAATCAAAGCGATGATAATGATAACGTTAAACAACTCATAGCCATAAAAACCAAACCTGATTATGCCATACACGTAGAGAAAGACGTTCACCTTCTCCCCAAAATATGGATTTTTCAACTGGCTCAGGATTTAATTTCGAGGGTAGAGTGAAACTAGTTGGAGTTGAAATTTCAAGCCAAACAACTCAAATTGGATAAGTAGTATAACAGTGATCGTGGTCATATTCCGAAGGCATTGTAGATCTATTACTGCTCTTGAATTTAATCTACTATCTAGCTGAACGGATGTCTTCTGCTGTTGGCCTGTTATATAATCTCAACATTCCTATGGAAGTCTTCTTGGTAAAGCTGCTAGTTGTGATTCCTTGTTTCTGACCTCATTCATTTTTACTTATCCCTGATTTATGTGGATGGCAACTTCTCTGTAGATGCTTCTTCTTGGCAAAGTCTTACAGCATAGTTGGTAAGAGAGCAGAAGCGTGTGCTCTGTACTGCCATGCCCAATCCCTTGCGCAGAAGGCCTTGAAGAATTATCAAGCTCTGAGTGACAAAGATGAGGTATTTTTGTAGGAAACCCAGAAAAGGAAACTCAAGCTTTAGCCGTTCTCTATGTACTTAGCATGGTCAATATCTCTCCCTCTACCTTCCTCTCTATGTATTTACCATGGCTTCAATTTCTTTTGGCTGCTCTTTTTTTGGTGTGACAGGTGATGATGAACGAGCTGAATGGTTTATACAGTGAGTGCAGATCCAGTAGTTGCATAGAGCATGCGCTAGGGATTATGGAGGAAGAGAAGGTTCCTGAAAATCTCTCATCTAGAGTCTCTGCTTTATCATTGAGCGAGACAACCAACTTGGTAACTAACAGCTGCTTTGCCTACCATACCATGATAGTCTTGCATTTTATTTTTAGGGTAAATACAATTTAATATCCAAATCTTTCATTTTAAACAATATAATAGCCAAACCTTTTCGAAAACAATCTAATATCCAAATTGTCAACTTTCTTTCTGTTTGACCGTTAGTTGATACTTCAAAAAAGATGGAAGTACGACACTTCATCAATATCCATTCATATCTTCTCTGGAAAACCACCAACATATCATGGTTCCAAACCCGAGAAGTCCATGAGTCCACCATGATGGTATAGAATATCTAAATATTCAGTCATCTGCAATGCCAAAACAGGAAAACAAAGTTGTATTGTGACAATTTCCCCTAAACAAAGCTTTTTTGAAGTGTCAACTAACGGTCAAAAGGGCGGAAAGTTGACGATTTGAATATTAGATTGTTTTTGAAAAGGTTTGGCTATTATATTGTTTAAAATGAAAGGTTTGGATATTAAATTGTATTTACCCTTCTTTTTATGTATGTCGCATTTGGACAACTGTTGACAGTGATGATGGAATGAATGTTTGTTATTTGCAGAAGTTCCCATCCCTAGAGACCAGGATGAAGAAGAAAGGTCTTATTAGTAGGTGGTGGGAAAAATGAGCAATGCCAACTTGCTATTACAACCAAAGGAGTGAGCTTGCATGGGATTGTAGCCTACATGTTGCGCTTTCGGCTTTTCTTCTAGAAATTTTTGGGATACCTAAAATTTTGGCATGAAGGCATTTGGTTAAGTTGGTGGACAAGGTCATTTGTGTTAACTGTTTAACTTTTTATTTTATTTTTATAACAGTGCTCTCCATATTTCCTTATCGATTCGTACGGAACTTGTCAATGCAAAATAAAATCTAAATGCAACGGATTGTAAGATTGGTTACTGCATAGTTGAACACTAATAACTCCCTATCAAATTGTCAGCAGCATAAATATACTGTTTGCTAGTAATCTCAATGAATAATCTTACAATCCCATGTCGTTGGATCCTTGGAACCCTGAATGCCGGGATATGATGAGAAAAATCAATTTGGCTATGGTGCTTATAGAGTTTGTTTAGGGGTACATGGTCACAATCTTTTAATTTTGTACGTTTTGATCAAACAAGTTTGAACGAATAACAAAATGATCAATCTGTACAATTCCGTCCAAGACTCAATTACCTGTGGCCCAATCAACCTAACACGTCAATAAAAATATTAATTAAAAAATCAGTAATTCGCCCCACTTAACCTGCACAACCCAACCGGTCATGACAAGCTCTTTACCCACCCCTTCCCGAATTGGAGAAAGCCAACGGTTAAGAACAGCTTCAACTCAGGCCAGCTCAACTGACAAAATCCATGTTCATCTTTCTGGTTACTCTGCCCCCGTCTCCGTCCGCCAATCAATGCTTTCCACCGCCGTCGTTTCCTCTCTAAATCGCTCAACATACAAACAAGTTGTTCACCAATCCAAAATTGAACCTGTAAATATACTGGGATTGGAGGGATGGGAAGGAGTAGAGGGTACTGGACCAATTATCCCCATCCCATACTTGCCACACTCTCCCCAAATAACCTCGTCTGCCCACTCTGCTACTCTGCCCTTCCTCCTCAGAAGAAAATGCTTTTAGGCTGGAAGTTTGGTACCGGTATTTGGAATATACCGAATATCGTACCGAATTTGTTTATATTTGGGATTACCGAATACACGTATTATTTCTTGGGATTGAGATTGGGATTGAATTTCAATTGTTATTTGGTATTAGGGATTACGGGATTGGGATTGGGATTGGTATATACCGAAATATAAACTAGTGTGTATTTTATCCTATCAACTAAACTCTCTCATTCACTACTACACGACCCTCAACCACCAAGAGTGTCATTTAATTAAACATAGATAATTTCATCACTATTAATAGTCGTCTCTCAACCTCCAATTTGTCAAATTAACGATTACCTATGACAAGAACTTGAGATGTCTCCTCTCCTCCATTCTCCTTAATAATATCCTAGTTCAAGACTCTTTGCTTAGTCTTTTCCCCCTAAATTAAACATTAAAATCTAATTTATATATTTAATTATTAATTGCAAAGGTAATTAATTTTGTATTCGATAATACCTATTGGGATACCGAAGTAGCGATTGGGATACCGAAATATTTAGGGATTGGGATACCGAAATTATTTAGGGATTGGGATTGACTTTAGGAGGTAATTCTGTATTCGGGATTTTTGTATTTGGTATTGGAATACCGATACCGTACCGATTTCCACCCCTAAATGCTTCCACCAAATTTGAACTCCCTTGCTTTTCCGCATCACTGTCTCTCTAATTCAGAAGCAACCCCATCGTTTCATTCGGGTTTCTCGGGCCCTAGTGTACCGTTTCAAATGGGACGGGTATTCTGTCCCGTCCCATTGCCCACCCCTAATTGGATGCATAACCTCCAACAATCCACATGTCAGTTTTTTATTGGTGGACTCACATTACTTTTTTCTTGATATTAAAACTGTTCTTAATTATGCTAAATAAATCAAAATTTAAAATCTAAAAAACAAAGATGAACTCACTAATAGGAAACTAACATGTGGCTGGTTAGAGCTTCTACTTCAAACCAAGGTTGGAGCTAAGAATTTTTTTAGAGAATAATCCATTGCCGTAATTTCATTCTTTTGTTGTAATCTGGCAGCAGAAGCTAAATAGACACAAATCCCCCAACATGATCACTAGTTCACTACAAACCGGAAAATGAGAAAACGACTTTTAGTTATCTTTTTTTGCTACCAAGGTTGTCAACTAGGCTTAGGCCGTTGACCAGATTGAACAAGTGTGTTGAGAGTTAATGGGCTAACCATTTTAGTCCAATTTAGCCCGGTTATATGAAAAATTATTATATTGTTCATACATTTATAAATTATATTAAATCTCATCTAACATGCGAATAATAATATATAACATTACACTAAAATAAAATGCCATACTTGGATTCAACATTTACTGAATTAGCACACACTTTATATAACATATATATGCACACACTTATATAACATATATATTCAAAAGATCAACTTAGAATTTCAAAACAAAAATAAGGTTAGGCGAAAAGGAAAACTAAAAAAACAGAAGCATTTTGACAAACCAAAGGAAAGACGACACCATGTGACCTCTAACCCGATAACCTTGCTGCGAGTCGACTCGATGGGTGTGTATGTCCCATTTTTCTCACCAAGTTAAGATCAAAATGACCAACCAGTGGATCGACCCACGGGTTGACAACCTTATTCACTACAAATTTCCAAACACATTTTTCGCTAAATTTCATTTCCAATTCCAAATTCTAAAACACATCAATCAAGATCAAGCAACAATATCAACTTCATCCCGGCCAGGAGGAACCACATCCACCCTCATCATACTCTGATACTCATCCGGAATAGCCGCACCACCATGTACACACAGTTCCACTACCGCAGGAGCCTTCCCATAATACCTCTTCAAGCTATTCTCCAATGGCGGCCCATCCAAGTTACCCACATGCCATACATAATTGGGACCAATCAAATCCTCGATCCTTGCTTCCTGCCATGCATGCTGCCCATCACGAGCCTGGTGCTTTGTCGCCTTGCAATTCCTCACCTTGTGTCCCTTTGGACCAACCTGAACCTCAGGGCAAAAACCACACGTCCACGCACTGTACTTACCCATCAACTCTTTTACTCCCGCTAACATCTGGAACCATGATTCCACCGTCGCAGTGCTTGTTTGCTTCAAGTCTAAATCGTGCACAGAACAACAATCAGAACGAACAACAGTGGTTCTTTTCTCCGTCGTCATCATTTGCTCATCATCACCTTCCATCATTCCTTCCTCGAAATCAACAATCCTGCCTTCCACAGAATAAACAGGCTTGGTCCTTCTCTTAGTGGGATACTTATCAAGGTCGACTCCAGCCTGGATGCAGAGCTCCAAAATGGCGGGGATCCGTGGAACGTGATGCTTCTCCTTGTGAGTAACTCTGGCATTACCAACGCGGTCATGCAGATGGAAACACTTGGGGAAGAAGACCACATTGTGGACTCCTCCCTTCCTCCATACGTGCGTAGCGCTTCGCATGCTACTTTTCGGGCCATTGCAGGTCCGTATCCCGTGACCAACACGGCCGACGTGAACCTCGGGGCAGAACCTGAAACAGAGTGGGATCACCAAAAAAAAAAATATATATATATATATATATATATATATATATATATATATATATATATTCCTGTTTTGGCAAGCAAGAATGAGAGAATTGTGGTGGGGTGCTTACTTGCAGCTGAGAAGGGGAATGGAGGCGAGAAGCTTGGCAAGGCCAGAGAGGAGGGACTCTCGAGCTAGATAAACCCGGTGAGCGACGTGAACGAGTTCAGGGACTAACAAGCCGTTGTGAGGTGGGTCCTCGAGCATTCTCACGGGATGTGCCTTTCTGGCTTCTCGCTCTTTCCTAGCCCGGCGAATCAACTCTGTTACGGGAGTAACATACGGCTTCCTCTCCGATTTGTCCCGCCCGGGCTTGGGTACGTCGGCATATGGAGGATCGCAGAAGAAGCGGAGATGGATCAGACGGGTGCACAATTTTTCTAGGTGGAGATACGCAGCGATTCGCCTCCTCTGCATGTGCTCGTCGTCACAGAGGACTTTTGTCGAACAGTTGGCGTGCGTTGAGACGTGTTTCGGCAAATTCCTGCAAATGGCGGCATAGTGGTCAGATTCAGGAAGGGAGCAGCAGCAGCATAGAGCTTAGTGGCCTTTCCCAATCCAGACACAGTTTTATGGCAAATTCGATCTTATCAAAGAATTTGTCAACAGTACGTTTAGCGATACCGAACCAAGGAAGCGACAGGACTTTTGCGCGAGGAGGAATCTGTAATCCTGAGTCTCAATAATCATTCAAGGCCACTTACGGGCTATGGCGAGATTACCTTCCGAATTTTCGGTTCCGAACTTTCTTCAAGGAGCTTCAAATTCTGAACTTATAGCGAAGTAATGTCGATGCCGATCATAAACGATACGGTAAAGTAATATCGATCGCTGTGAAATAGGAACACGGGAAGCCAAAGAACAGGTAATTATCAGAAACGGTCACACAACTTATCATTTAGTACAAAATGATCACTAAAATTTCATTTTACACGTTTCAATAAAAAAATGTTTGAACAAACAACATAATGGTCATTTCGTCCATCTCCATCCGAAAAATCCATTAATTCAATCTAGTCAGCACACCACGTCACAAAAAAAAAAAATCAAACCAATTAAACCAACCCAACTCAACCCACCCTAAAATTCTCACGTCGTCGGTTCATCTCTCGAACCGCCACATCTCTTCTGCAAAACCCATATCCCCTGCTTGTCGCCGCTGCCATCAACGATCCCCGGGCCCCTGAGTTTGTTCCTTACTAACCCTTCCTGCGCGTCGAGTCCTGAGTTGGAAGTCGAGGTTGACCTAAGTATTGATCATCGTGCGAGGCTCAACGAGTTGAGCTCAACGATCCCCGGTCCCCTGAGTTTGTTCATTACTAACCCTTCCTGCGCGCAGAGTCCTGAGTTGGAAGTCGAGGTTGACCTAGGTATTGATCATCGTGCGAGGCTCGTTGAGCTCAACTCGTGATTTTGCTCTTTTTGAGCTCAACTAGTGCTCATTTTGAGATAACGAGATATCTCAACACTGTGAGTGAATCGAGATCTGTATCTTATGACTTCGCCTATTATCAATTCATAGATTTTTTTTTTAATTATATACATATATGAGTCAGACTCTTGTGCTCCTGGAGCATACTATGCTCCATGTACTCATAGTGAGAGATCTCTATCTAGACCATGAATTAAACCGTGTTTGGGGTATGATACTATACCCTAACCATCACTTTGTGTGATGTTTAACACTTTGAGTATGTGAGAAAATATGTCACAATGAAAATTCAGTTTCATAGATTGCTTAGATACCAATATACTATGGAATAACATGATAACAAAATAGTAAATAAACATTGGATGATGGAAATTTGACTATTATTTTTTCCAACATGACATCAATCAAAACTCATATATGTGTGTGTGATGGTGTATTCGATGCACTCACTTTTTTGGGTGCATTGAATGCACCCAACTCTAAAAGTAGCTATAGTACATCGAATTTTAAACTTTAGTCGGTAGTATTAGTCTAATATGATGATATAACATAAAATCACAATTCACAACTAATCAAACTATTACCCTAGCCCCTTAACCTTCAATTTTGAATCCTTACCCAAAATCCTAAATTATAAACTTCAATCCTTAATCCTTAAATTCTAAATCTTTCAAATTCAAGTAAATCATGTATGAGTTTTTTGCAAATTCATGTGTTTCTTGTTCATAACATCATAAGCGACGATTGATACTGTTTTGACATGAATCACAAGTTCGGAATGACGATTATGAGGCGAGTGCACTGAATGCACCCAAAAAAGTGGGTGCACCGAATACGCCACCATATATATATGTGGTTCATTCTACGGTACCCCGGGTGAAATCAGGGGTACCGCATACCTTGAGTATGAAAACGCTATCTAGACCTCGAATTAGCAGGATTTTTGGGCATGATACTATACCCTAACCCTTAATGAGTGAACCCTAGATCCTAATTATCTAAATCATAAACTATAAACCCTAAGATGGTGCATTGATTTTTTTGCCTATATTTGGACGAATCATAACCGTCGATTATTGTTTCTAATTAAATTGATCTTGGGGTATAATATTTAGAGAATTAAGACCAAGATGTTGATCTTTAAGGGTTAGAGCATAGTATCATGTCCGAAAGATCAGTCAATTCAAGTTCTGGATAGCGTTTTCTTACTCAAGGTATGAGGTACCCGGGATTTCACCCTGGGTACCGTAGAACTCCCCATATTACCTAGAGTGAAATCCCGGGTACCGCATACCTTGAGTAAGAAAACGCTATCCAGAACTTGAATTGACTGATCTTTCGGACATGATACTATGCTCTAACCCTTAAAGATCAACATCTAGGTCTTAATTCTCTAAATATTGTACCCCAAGATCAATTTAATTAGAAACAATAATCGACGGTTATGATTCGTCCAAATATAGGCAAAAAAATCAATGCACCATCTTAGGGTTTATAGTTTATGATTTAGATAATTAGGACCTAGGGTTCACTCATTAACCCTGTGTTTTTTTAGGAAGGAAATGGAGGGGAGGGGAAGGGAGGGAGGGGAAGGGGGTTTCCCAATACGTTTTCCCCCGTTCTCCAATGACTGAACAGTGGGGAGGGAAAGAATTTAGGGAGGAAGATTTACTGTTGGAGTAGTCCCTCCAAAATGGAGAGAAAACAAGTTGGGCCCTTTTTTATTTATTTTTTTCCTTTTCAAAATACTGATATAGCAACAAAGGTAGGTTTGTTGTCCCAAATTCTTTCTTTATTTCTTTTCCATTTCAAAATGGCTACACGTAGCTTTTATTAATGGAAAACAAAGTATAGAAGCTTTGCCCATAATTTTTTTTCGTAGCTTTTATTATGAAAAAGAAACTTATAATTATAGATTGATAGTTGGGGAATGTATGTTCGAGATCATTATATAGTAAAATCACATTTGAGTTTGGGGTACGATTTTTTCGGTAGAACTGTTTGCGATTTTCACATTTAGCTAACTGCATAGCACAAATAGCATATCGAAAGTTTCATTATATAAATGACACATTGGCTAAAGATTGCTATATTTAGTTGTATTAGTTCTTAAAAATGAAAATGGTAATGATTGGTTATTCATGAAATTCATTTCAACATATAATTAAATTATTTTACTATAACATAACCAATAAAATAACATGTACATCACACTGTTCAATATAATCCGATATGAATACTTTGTCACATGAATTTTATTATTGTCGAAGAAAACAACATATCTATCACACTTTCCTATATACTTTTTCCCTCCCTCTATCCCTTTCACTTTCCCCCATAAAACAACATTTTCTCTCCAATTCCCTTCCCCTCCAATTTTCCTTCACCTCCAAATTTTCTCTCCCCTCCCCTCATTTTCCTCCCCTACTTCGGAAACAGGGGGTAAGGGTTAGGGTATAATCTCATGCCCAAAAATCCTGCTAATTCAAGGTCTACCGCATACCTTGAGTAAGAAAACGCTATCCAGAACTTGAATTGACTGATCTTTCGGACATGATACTATACTCTAACTCTTAAAGATGAAAATCTAGGTTTTAATTCTCTAATCTTATACCCTAAGATCAATTTAATTAGAAACAATAATCGACGGTTATGATTCGTTCAAATATAGGCAAAAAAATCAATGCACCATCTTAGGGTTTATAGTTTATGATTTAGATAATTAGGACCTAGGGTTCACTCATTAAGGGTTAGGGTATAATCTCATGCCCAAAAATCCTGCTAATTCAAGGTCTAGATAGCGTTTTCATACTCACAAGGTATAAGGTACCCCGGATTTCACTCGGGGTACCGCATATCTTAAGTAAGAAAACGCTATCCAGAACTTGAATTGACTGATCTTTCGGACATGATACTATACTCTAACCCATAAAGATCAAAATCTAGGTCTTAATTCTCTTAATCTTATACCCCAATATCAGTTTAATTAGAAACAAAAATCGACGGTTACGATTCGTCCAAATATAGGCAAAAAAATCAATGCACCATCTTAGGGTTTATAGTTGTGATTTAGATAATTAGGACCTAGGGTTCACTCATTAAGGGTTAGGGTATAGTATCATGCCCAAAAATCCTGCTAATTCGAGGTCTAGATAGCGTTTTCATACTCAACGTATGCGGTACCCCGGATTTCACCTGGGATACCGTAGAAGGCACTATATGTATGTGTGTGTGTGTGTGTGTGTATATATATATATATATGGCAAATGCTAGCGTACGTCCGGGCGTACGCTAGCCTACCGTACGCCCCATTGAGTTTTGCTATTTAGACAAAGAATTAATCGGAGTTTGGGACATGATACTATATCCTAACCCCTAATGTGTGAATCCCAGTCTCCAATTCACTAACCCAAAGCATGAGATTCGTTTAATCTTAAAAATGAAAATCAACGATCCTGATTCGTCGAAATTTTCATTGATTTTCATTTTAAGATTAAACGAATCTCATGGTTTGGGTTAGAAAATTAGGGACTGGGGTTTACCCATTAGAGGTTAGGGTATAGTATCATTCCCCAAACTCCGGTTAATTCATGATCTATATAGCAAAACTCAATGGGGCGTACGCTAACCTAGCGTACGCCCGGGCGTACACTAGCCTGAACCATATATATATGAGGTGACTACTTCGATGCACTCACAAAAATGAGTGCGTTTAATGCACCCAACTAAAAAACTAGTCTTAAGGTGTCGGATTTTGAATTTTAATTTGTAGAATTAGTGTAATATGAGGATATAACATATGATAACAACTAATTAGCGGATTACCCTAAGCCCTAGACCTCCAATTTTGAGTTCTATCCCTAAACCGCAAATTGTAAACCCTAACCCTAACCCTAAATCTCTTAACTCTAAATCCTTTTCAAATTAAAGTAAATATTCAATGGTTTTTGTGCAAATTCATGTGCGTTATTGTTCATCACATCATAAGTGATGATTGACATCATTTTGACATAAATCACATGTTTAAAATGACGGTTATAAAACGAGTGCACTGAATGCACCCAAAAAAATGAGTGCACCGAAGACGCCCAGGGCAAAATCCGGGGTATGGGTAACCGGGGGCAAGGAAAATTACCAAAAGCATCACGAAGCATTTAAAGTTCTTTTCATTGGACTTCAACCTAACTGTACCCGGTTTAATTATATCGATTAAGAGGTTAAACCCTATGGATACGACCCGCCGCCCTAACCAATTTCCAGTCTCCCTTCTACGATCCCTCATTCGTCTTGGAGGATCCCCTCTTAGTTCGAAGTTCGATCATAAGCTGCCTATCAAATCTGAAATC